CAAATCAATATGTAATGACATTATTCAAGCCAATCAGAAAATCTTTTCAAAATCAATCAATTTTAATATTGAATTAAAGAATCACTGATGATTTTGTATTTATTATTTTCGAATTTCAAAAAGGCATTAATATTGTTTGATAATCAAACTAATATGTAATTGTATTATTAAAGCCAATCGGAGAATCTTTTCAAATCAATCACCTTTAATGTTAAATTAAAGAATCACTAATGATTTTGTATTTATTATTTTTGAATTTTAAATAATCATCAATATTGTTTAATGATCAAATCAAGACGTAATTCCATTATTCAAGCCAATCAATAATCTTTTTCAAATCAATCTTATTTAATGTTGAGATTTTAAAAAAATTTTGGTTTTTTTTTTATTTTATTTTAGGGAATACAAAATAGAATGCTTATCACACAATTAATTGATATACTTTAATTAAAAATTGATAATAATTTATTAACTGAAAATTCAAAGGACTATTAATGTAATTGTTGTAAATATTTTTTGTGTCAACTCATAGGAAAATGACACATAGGATTTTGTCCTATGTGTCAACGGGAGGAGAAGTTTGATTTCTTCTCTCTGGTTTCTCTCTTAGTATAAATAATAAATTATGTATAAAAAGGTCTCTCTTATACATCTATCCATCTTTAAAAATGACACATAAGATTTTATCCTATGTGGTACTTTTAAAGTTCTTTTTTGTTTTCTCTCTCTGGTTTCTCTTTTAGTATAATATACTATAGATCTTTGTTATGTTAGCCTTCTCTTTGCTCAGGTCTTGGTACCCTTTGATCTGCAATAGCTGCTGCAAACGCAGGAACTCAAATGCATAGCAATTAAAAGTGATTGGTGTAGTAACTCTTCAAAGCGGCATGGATGCCTGGATGGTATGAAATCTACATTTTTTTTCAGTCATGGGATAAATATTTTTTCTGTCATCAACTCAACATTATTTAAATCAAGCTTGTATTCTCTATTTCCTCTCAAACTATCATCAAAATTTCTTAAAAGATCAACACTTCTTACGAACCCACCGAATCAATATGAAGGGTTTTCTTACTAGAGAGGCAAGAATCTCATGTAACATTTTTGGTTGTAACATTAGTTACAATAAACAATGACAAATATTTTTTCAATATTAATCTATTTTAAAAAATTTTAACTAAAAATCCAAATCCTCGAATTAGACAGGTTAGCCCTTATCCATAATCGGAGAGTGCTGTTTGTAAAAGATTTCTCTCTTTTACCTGTTTTGGTCTGAAAAACGGGAAAAAAAAAATCCCTCTATTCCAGTATTTTGTTAACCTGACTTATTTTTATTATATTACTATTTTTTAAAAATTGTATTGAATCTTAAACAAAATAACATATTTTTACATCAATAAAATTAAATAAGTTCACAATTTAAACCCTAATGAGGTTTCCAATTAGGTTAAGAGCCTTCCTTGATAAATACACGGGTATACACTGATACCACATCTTCTAACAAAAAAGGGAGGGGATAGAAATCGGATTAAGACCTATAATTAGAGAAGAGAAGAGGCTAATTTCTGAGTCAAACAAACTTATGGCTTCCACAATGGAGAAGTCCCAAGGACTGACCAGCGATACTGCCACGCCGGTTGATAGGATCAGCAATTTACTGGAGTCAGTGATTTGTCACATTCTTTCTTTTCTCCCAACAAACTGTGTGGTGACAACAAGCGTTATATCCAAAAGGTGGGAATTTCTGTGGACTAAATTATCAGCTCTTGATTTTTTTGATCCTTATCTAAACCAGGACGAAAGAGCGGTGATGAGTTTCGTGCACTTTGTCAACAAGGTTTTACTCCTCAATACTGCTGGAAACTTGCGCAGGTTTCAGTTGTATTGGATTTGTCGAGGCTCTGAATTTCCGCCCCTTGTCATTAATACCTGGGTAAGAACCTCCATTGCCCGCAATGTTCAAGAACTCAATCTTCTTTGTCTTGGATTCCCTATTGAGATTCAGTACCTACCACTCTGTTCACAAGTGGCACACTGGAAAATATTAGATTATTCGGATTTTTTTGGATAAAAGTTTTAGGACTGGTATACCTTCCCAAACTCGACAGGTTGGACCTTTTTCGTGTCAAGTATGACTCAGAGGAGTGTTTTGGTAAACTGATATCTGGTTGTCAAGTGCTACATTCTCTCAGGGTTGACATTAATTTCCATAACAGGTTCTACAAGATCTCTTCCCCCTTGTTAAAACGTGTTGAATTTGATTGTTGGATAGGAGAGTTGGAAGTAGATGCACCTGTGCTTGGGTATTTCAGTTGTATAAACCGCGAACGCATGAATTTGTCAGCAGGAATGCCAGCTTGCATGTTTGACAGATTGATTAGGTTGGACATGGGAGGATGTTGTTGCCAATGGAGTTGTTTAAGAGTTATGCTTGAACGTTCAGTCCAATTAAAAGTCCTTAAAGTTGCATCCAACGGTTTTGTATATACACATAATCATAAAGACGGTTCTTGGAATTAAGGAACCAAAGGAGATTCCCAAGTGCTTGTTATGTAGTCTTGCTAAATTTTCATTCAAGGGATTGGAAGGCCGCAATGATGAGATGGCAATAATAAGATATATCCTGAAGTGCAGCACTGTGATGAAAAACAATGTGTCATTTACCTAAATATGTCCAGGAAAGAAGTAGTGGACTGATATAAGCACAAATTTTGGAGTGGTCAGAAAAAACATGTATCGGAAAAGGAATTTCCGTTTTCCTATGAACTGTTCATAAAACGGATTTGCGAATCCCGTTTCTTTGGGATTAGGATATGATAATTACTTTGATTAATAAAAACGGATTAAACATTTCCGTTTTTTGTTTTAGTAAATTTTGATTTAAGGAAATGGGAAAAAAATTTGTGAAGTAAATATTTTTCGGAAATATAAAACGGAAACTCAAATTCCGTTTTTGGTTAAAAGTAATAGAAAAATAAAAATGGATCTCAGATTTCCGTTTTAAAGACAGTAGACATAAAAAAAAAACAGAACTGGCCTGCTTTACCAATCCTATTAAAAAGACAAAAACAGAATATAAACCAGAAGGCAAACAACACCAACACATCAACATCAACATAAACCCTAAACTCATACATCAATTGAACAAAATATTATAATTGTAACAAATTTTAATAAAAAACTACATCAACAAAAGTTCCAACATTCATCAATAGAGGTAAACATCAAAATAAAAGAATTATTCCTCCTTTAGGGGTGGCTTGGCTTGGCTGTGGATGGCGTGTAGCGGTCGACTTTCTTTATCTTTCTACGCAGCCTTCCTAAAGCCAAAGGTAGAGTAGTTTGCTTCAATGGCGGTGTAACATCCACATCCATACTTGTAGGTTCACCTCCTTGGTTGGTTTCGGCTTCATTTTGGGGGGTTGGAGTTTGAAACAATTCGGCATTGAGTTCAAAATCATATTCTTCTTCTTCATCTTCTTCTTCTTCCACGATTTTCTTCCTGCCTCCTCCAATCCCATGGTGAGGAATGTTTCGCTTGCGAACTTTGCCAACCGGTTGAGAAGGTTGTGGTGGAATATCAACAAGCAATTGGGTGGGTTTCAAAATGGGCAACTCATGTCTCCAAGGGATAAAGCACTCATATATGAGCAGTGAGTTCAAGAAGGAGATCCATACAAACTGAATTTTGGCACCTCTCTTTTGACGCAGAATAGTCTTCTACCTTTGTGCAGACGTCGCTCAAAGAATCAGCCTAGAATCAATTTAACCATTAAAAAACAAAAGAACAGAATGCATGAAACTAAGGAAGCAACTAGCATGCTGCATTTAGTAACCAGAATGCAGTTCAAAAAAACAGAACCTAATGCATTTTATTCAAAACAGAACCAGAATGCATGTCATAACAAAAACATCATCATAAATAAAATAGAAGCATCATCATAACATCCATTGCAAGCATAAAAAAATTCAGAATAAGAACCTAAACAGAATATAATCTTAAAAACAGACCCAGAAGGCTAAAAAGTATGAAAATTCAGAATATAAACCAAAAAACCAAAAAAACAGAACCAAAACCCTAAAAGAAGAATTCTGGCGAGAAACCACAAGAACAAACAAACAGTCCTAAACTAAGTCCTTGTTCCCTAAAATTACACAAGCTCCAAACAGTCCTAAACTTCCTTCCTTTTCCCTCTCAAATTTTGACCAAACTCCACTGTACAATTCCCCTTTCCCCGTTTCAAGCACAAAATCAGCAAGCATGCCATAAGAAAAACATAATCATAAATAAACTAAAAAACAGAATATAAACTAAAAAACAGAACCAACAGGCTAAAAATCCTGAAAATTCAGAATATAAACAAAAAAAAAAAACAGAATCAAAACCCTAAAAAAATAATACTTACATAGAATTTTGCGCGATCCGAATGCTCACGATACCCTTCCTCCTGAAAGTTGTACCTATTGGGATCCTTGATAAATTTGATGGTATTGGTGTCATACCACAGGAGATAATCTTCATCGGTTGAGGATTGACCACTAACCGGAGATCCAGCCACAATGGTGTCCGCCCTTTTGTCCCATTTGGTGATGTATTCACGATGATGATGCTCCCAGTTAGCCCTAGGCATTCCAGTCCTACCATGCCGGAGCAACTTTTCTCATACATCGAAACCAGCAATCATTGGTTGTGGTGGGATCGACTGTTTCCAGCCAAATTGTCGCATCACATGGTCAACTTGATGCGGTTCAATGATCTCCCAGCAAATTAACCAAGTGTTTGATCGCCAATGATCCCGACCCAGTGTACATCTTTCAGGTATCTCCACTCCTTCATAAGGTTGCCAAATAAACTGAAATACAAACCAGAATGCCATAAATTTTTTTTTTTAAAAAAAAGCCAAGCAGAACAGAATTCCCAAAAAAAAAAAAGCCAAACAAAACCTAAAAGAAGAACCTAAACAAAACCCTAAAACCTAAAAGTAGAACCTAAACAGATCCTAAAAATCATGTGGGCAGAACCTAAACAGAACCTAAAAACCTAAAATTTACGGCACCAAATGCAGAACCTAAACAGAACCTAAAATTTACAGCACCAAATTCTGTGGGCAGAACCTAAACAGAACCTACAAATCCTGTGGGCAGAACCTAAACAGAACCTTTCAGCAATAAATAAAAAAAAAATCTATCTTATACAATAAAATTAAAGAGGACAGAATATTCTATAAAAGGACAGAATAAATAAATAAATAAAATCTAGCTTACATCTTCTGCCTTCCTAAGGCTCGCGAGTTGATCTCGTTGTGCTGGGAGACAATGGGAGGCCACCTATGAAAAATCCAATGAACACCTCCACTTTGAACCTAAGGCCAAAGTGTTATCGTCGTCTTCCGAGTTTTTCCTCCTGGGGCGTATCCTTGGGATTCGCTCATATGCCCAAATCAAATTGCCTAAACAGAACCCTAAACAGAATTAGTGGATTAACATCAAAAGCAAATTGCCAGATACACATGTTGAGACTGGAAACAGGGAAACAGTGAAGGCAATTCAGAGCTAAGGCATATTATCACATAAAGGAATTAACCAAAAACAGAACCAGATTTATTAAGTAAGTATGGAGTAACATAGGGCATTACCTGGAAGCAGGCACAGTTAAAGCACCGGAGAAGAAGCTCTGGGTCAAGAATGCTTCTAGACGATGGAGTACGGAGTCAACAATGCTTCGAGACGGGCACCGGAGTCTCAGATGATTCAACGCCGGAGGTGGATTCAAGTACGGAAAATTAGGGCACCAGGACGGAGTTGGGTCGGGGATGGGGAAGAAAGGGAAAAGAAGGAAAATGAAAAGAAAAGAGAAGAAGACTTTTGACTGAAATCAATTAAAACTAAAAACGGATATCTAAATTCCGTTGTATTACTTAATCAATTAATTAGAAAACGGGTCATTGACCTGGACTCTTTAAAACGGAATTCAATGATCCATTTGCTAATTTAACTCATTATTTAAAAAATTAATAAATTTTACACTGGATAATTCAAATCCGTTTTAAAGAGTCCAGGTCTTGGACTCCTTAAAATTTTAAAAAAAGTTAAAAAACTACATTTTCATTTTAATTCTTGCAAACCATAAATTCATACAATCAAACCCTAACGTCTAAAAAATAAAATAACTAGAACAAGAAAAATACAACCTAAGCATGCTAAATTGAGAAAATAAAGTTTTGATTCATTGTTGCCGGTACAATTTCTACACCCGTGATTAATTGTCGCATTCCTTTGCCCGATGTCGCAGAAACTACTCCCAGCATTGTTTCCTACTGGTTCTGTCCAACCATAAAAATGGTAAATTGATCCAAATACATCATCCAAATACATGTATTACACAAACAGAATCAAACCTCCAACTAAGATAACAATAATACATCCAAACAGAACCAATATTGATAAACTGATCAACACAACGGAGGGATTCAGTCCTCTTCAACATTTTCGAAACCATCTGCGTCCCAGTTGACTTCCAATCTAGTCCGATCAGCTATGCGGTGTGAACAATGACATTCCCTTGTTAAATGATCTCGACTGCTGCATCTCCTACATCTTCTGCATCCACCCCTGCTCATATAATCCATTGACATCAAGAATCGCCGCTGTTGTTGATGACCTACAGCATTATACAGAACTAGATTGACATAATCAGGAACAACATTCCACCCTGGAGACATCCACTCTTCTCTTCTTGGGATGGGAAAAAACCTAGAATGACGAAACTGCTCACGCCATGTACTCGTCTTATAATATTCATGTATTATGTTTTCTAGGTGATCACCAATCCACCGACATACAGCCAATGCGTGCGAACAAGGAAGCTTGTAAGTCTGTCACTTCTTGCATGAACAATGCCAATCCTTGTATTCTACTTTGTGTTCATTTCTACCTTTCCCTATACGAAGCCAACCTGTAATGACCCCATACACTTGGTTCTGGAAATCATACAGCTCTACTTTGTGAGTTGCTGCTGTATTTTTCATACTTACTGAATTTCTTCCAATACTTATCTCCGATAGGAGTATTGCACTTCCAGGCATCTGCATACTGATCAAGGAAGAACTTAATTGTCTTACCCAAAGTCGATTCCACCACAACTCTAATTGGTAAAAATCGAACATCCTTCAGAACATTGTTGTAACTCTCAGATATATTTGTTGTCAACATGCCCCAACGTGCATAATCTTGATCGTAGGCAAGACTCCACCTCCCCCTCGGAGTAGCCATCATATAAGCAAGACCTGCTTCATTGCATTCTCTCAGTTGTTGCTGAAATTTTAGAAACTTGTGATTTTGCCACTTCTTGCCCATTTTCCAGCACCAGATTGGTTCGCGCAATTTGTTTTTTGCGTTTCGCCACCATGTTGCTCCGAACATGTCAAAGACAATACCTGTGGTATCCAAAATATGGTTCAAGCCACAAATCGACATTATTTTTCAGTGCACTGATTATCCCCTTATGCCGATCTGATATAAGACACGTGATTCTGTCGTGTATAACATGAAGCCTCAAATTACAGAGAAAAAATGACCAGCTGTCCTCGCTCTTCTTATCTACAATTGCAAAAGCAATGGGCAGGATATGGTTGTTAGCAGTTTTCACCATTGCTACAAGAAGCTTACCCTTGTACTGATCGCAAAGGTGTATCCCATCAATACTCACAACAGGTTGACACATATGAAAAGTCACAATGGAAGGACCAAATGCCCAGAAAACATATTTGAAGACCCGATGTTCATCATTCTCAGTCCCGGGCTGTCATTTCCACTCAACAACTGTGTTGGGATTAGACTTCTGTAGTGCAGCCATATACCTCTCATAAATACAAAATAGTCCAATAAATAGTCCAGTAATTCGAGAATTAAAAAAGTCTGCATTTGCATCAACAAGTAGTTTAGATTTGAATAAACAGTCCAGCATAACCCTAAACAGTCCAGTGTTTTCCTAACAAAATAGTCGAGATTTACATATATAGTCCAACATTTGAAAAACAGCCCAATATTTTCTTAATATCGTAAATAATAATTTTTAAATTTTTACCAGTACAATTCCGTGAAATTATCGATCCAGCTACCATAACACGCTTCGATAGCTTTTCTTCTTGCATGCCATGCTTTCTTGTACTTCACATCCACCTTATAAGCTTCCTTCACAGCATCCCTGATTGATTTCACAGGATCATTTTCAACACTATGCCTGATAAGTCTAGGTATTAACTTTGACCTCAAATTGCGATGGTCATTTTGTCTGGTTATTCCAACGCAATTGTGACGATCAACCCAGGACACAATTTGCCACAGACCATTTTGCTTCAAAGATGCACGCATCCTCCACGCACAAGTAGATTGCCCAATTGCAGTTTGCATTCTTCTTGTCGTGCACTCTGCAGCCCATGACTTATGTCCAGAAGCAAGAACATAAATTGCCTGTTGTGATGTATGTTCCAGTCTTAGATAGCTGCCTCAACTTCATCCCTGTTGTTGAAACAGGTATTCAAATCAAGGTTTTCTCTATCACCTTTCCACATCTTAACTTCAAATTCATCTCGATCCAGTATGCTATTTTTATAATCACCAATGTCTGAATAAACATGCTGACCAAAACTAGATGTGACTAAGTTCTGCCCTGCTTCTGCTCCTGCTTCTGCTTCTTATTCTTCTTCTTCTAAGTCGGTTTCGTCTGACACATCAGTTTGGTTGTCAACTTCTTCTTCGCTTTCTACATAAGTCCCGTATGATGCATCATCCTCATCTGATGAATCAAAGTCATCATTTTGACCCCCACCATGTCCCTCGACAACGTATCCATCGCCGTTGCTCCTGCTAGGCCCTGCTTCTGCATGTTGAGAATTATTCATCCAATATTGCTGGCGCTGTTGCGACACAAATGTAACATCCTGTTTTTGTCCATACAGATCTAACAAATTTTTGACATGCACCGTGTCTTCATTTTCAACATACAGCTCCAAATATGATGAACCTGAAAAATAATAAATAATTTCCACTGACGAGTCGTCCATAATTGTTGTGTTTCGTCTTACACCGTTGTTTTCAAACAACAAGTTAATTCTCAGATTTACATAATTTCTATCCCAACCCGCTTTATCACAAATTCTGCCCAAAAACTCAGAATACGACAGCTTGCGCTCAATAACTAATGTCGCATCTGCCCTGTTATCAAATGTTCTGATCGTGCCATCCTCCGCATCATATTTATTTCTCCAGTACACATTAATAAAATATGGACCATTCCATGCCATTTTTTCTATCATAAATATAATATTTCTTAAAAAAGCAGTCTAAATTTCCATAAACAGTACAATTATTTTCAAATAATACCGTACAAATTTTCATAAATAGTCCAACATTTAAAAAACAGTACAATTATTACCAAATAAAACAGTTCACATTTGCATAAACAGTCCAACATTGTTTCCAACACTCCAGTTATTTCCGAATACAACAATTCATATTTTCATAAACAGTCCAGCATTTAAAAGACAATCCAGATTTGCATAAGCAGTCCATCATTTAAAAACCAAGTCCAATATTTTCCTAATAAAACAGTCCAGATTTCCATAATCAATCCAATGTTTCAAAAAATAGTCCAGATTTCGTAATAAAATAGTCTAGATCGAATTTCCTAATAAATTCAATATTTTTATACTGAATATTTTAATCAAATTTAATAAGACCAATAATTAATTAATTTAATACAATACGATTAAAGGAAACAAAATAACATCAATGCAATACTAACCTTGACGATAACAATTTTCAGGCGTAAAAAACAGGTTCAAACTGGAGAGCTCTTCATATTTTTTTCTTCCCGTTCAAAACTTTCCAGATATGGTAACAGTGTCAATTCTTCTTCATATATAAACCTAAAAACGGATTTTACAATTCTGTTTTTTTGATTAAAGCCTGTGACACCAGTGATTCGTACCGATTATCAATGTCAGACCAATAATGCGTCTGACAACCTGATAACAGGAAAACGGTATCCATTTTTCCGTTTTTTGGATGACACGAAAAAAAAGGGAATTGAGTCTTCCGTTTTTTGGTTGATAAGGAAACGGAATTTCAATTTCCGTTTGACGTTTTTCCCAATATTTCCTATCTTTTTATTTCGAGGGAAATTATTTTTTTCAATTTTAATTATTTTAAATTAAAACAACGAAACGGATATTGAAATTTCATTTTTTAAATTATAGTTAAAAAAACGGAAAACGCATTTCTGACACATGTTTTCAGGACCACAAAAAAATAATTAAAATAAAAATTTCTTCCCTTTCTTTTGGGGTCTATTTAGGGAAATGACCCTGAAAACAATCGAAGTAGAATCTGATCCTTCTTGCCAACTCGAGGCTAAGTTGAAAATGGCCCAGGAGATGTTAATGTTTCCCAGATCTTCTATTTGTCCAATCAAATTTACATGAGATTTTACTTGCTATCGATTTGATTTTTTTAAAAAAACTCTGATTTAAATACTAGACCTTTAATTAGTAGTTTGTCGTTACATTTTGGTGTAGTTGCTTCAGGGATTTGATGCTCGTATGTACTTTGCTTCCTCAGTGATGATCTGAACTCTTGAGTCGTGTTCTTATGTATACATGTTTGGTCTTCTTCTCTGTAGTAGATGACGCTTTTCTTTTTGAAATCTTGGTACACCTTTTTAGTTTGCGTAGATCCTACTATATAGTGAACGAAAGAAAACAAGCACTCTTAAAAAGACACTCAAGGACGGTCGGAGAAAATTAATACACATAGCAATTTGTAATTTATACTTCTTTTTAGTACAAATCACAATCTACAATGTAGACTGTTTTTTTTTTTTTGGGGGGTTGTTCTGGTAGTCTGGTTAACTTGAATTTTGCTTCCAATCCGAAAATAATATGTAAAGTCAACATGATGGTTAACTTGAATTTTGCTTCCAATCCAACATGATGAGGACTGAAATGGTTTTTGATCAAAATAGTTTTAAGTTTTAATGGAATTGGACTAGATTAAAATTGTACAAGATTAGAAAATTAACTAATCCTTGAAAATAAGGAAAAATAATTTCTAAAACATTTTGGGCTGTCTCCAAATTATTAATGCCACTCGCTTGATGTAGGATAATTAATAATGTGAGACTAATATACAAAGAACTTGGGAGGAGGTTTTGTAATTTTAAAATCTTGAATGACTCAGATTGGCTTGTTCTTCAAAATCTATTCACTCATGGCTTAGATCAAAATCTAAGGGGCTATTCCTTTTGTTCAGATCTCTGGGATTGAGTTTCTTGGAAATGCTGCTAGACTATAAAAGTTAGCTACTAAACCAAGAGATTATGTGTAATTGAATCTTTAACATTAGATTTTTATAATTATCCAAACAATATAAAATAATTGTTGGGAGAGTTTTGACTCTCGAAAAAAAACTTACCTAGCTCGAATCCAGATTAATCAAAAACAATGATTTCGCACATTGTAATGTACCGGAAAAAAAATGGTAAGGAAATCTAACATGAAATTTTTTTTCTATAATTTACACTCATGATATTGTCTAAATTATTTTAATTATTTTGTTTCACATTAAACACATGATGACATAAAGCACCATTTTTACTATTTCAATACAAAGTATACTAAAATTAAAGTTTTAAACTGATAATTCTCAAAAGAATGTCCTAATGATTAAGTAAAGTTAATTCTTAAATTTACAATTTTGACATAGAATGAGTAGTAAAATAGACTAAAATATTACTCTCTCGATCGGTCCAAAAAAAATTATATCAATCTCGAAACTCAATTTAATTTTTTTTTTTTTTTGAAACGGAGGGAATAGTAATAGTCTATTCCCTATACTTTTCTTTTTCCTCGTACTCTTGGGAACTGAAAATTAAGAAAAAACCAAATTTGAATTAGAAAGATCGAGAAAATGACATAAGCACTAAGTACCATGGACAAAAGTATGATCCCCGCCTTTAATTTGTTATCTAGTCAGAGGCATAATTTTTTATATCTTGTTATATTATAAACAAAAAAGAGACTAACAGATCTTTTTCCCTACTTTCCTGTTGAAATGTAAGACTCCATGTATTAAAAAACTGTACATGTCATCTTGTCAAATCACTTTGTTTAATTTTTCTTCATTTTTACAACTTAATAATTTAATAAATTTTTTTCTAATATATTCTGTACCGGATGTCTGAAATATTTGATTCAACTAATACAATTTATTCTTTATTTCCTTAAACTGACATCAAAATTTCTTATTACATCAACACAAGTTATCTCTATCAGTAGTCATATTATATGTGTCGTCAATCATTTTGCCAACATCTCCTCTACTACCCCCCAATCCCCCTCACTCAATTTTCTAATCCTTCAACAAATTTTAATTTTATTTGAAAACATAGTTAATTTCTTCTCTAACCAAAATGCAAATTTTCAAACAAATACCAGCTTATTCTCATTTTCTACTCCCTAAATTTCAAACAACTATCAAGAACTGATTTATGGGTTAAAAAAACGTCAAACTAAAATTTTTGTCTTTTACACATACAAAGAAGAAAAATATGACCGAATATCATTAATGCGTTTATTTTGAGCCATTTAAAAAAAGTCACTATCAAAGTCATTAGTGGGTTAATTATATCCCAGTCATTGTGATTATTATTATTTTTTTTTAAAAAAAAGACATTAGCATTCCTATCTCTTATGAGTAACCAACAAAATCAATATGAATGGTTTTCTTAATAGAGAGGCAAGAATCTCAAGTAACATTTTTTGTTTAAAACAATGACAAATATTTTTCTTCCATATAATTTATTTTAAAAAACTTTTAAGCTTAAGTAAAACTACAAATCCTCGCATTAGAAACATTGTAAATCCTCGCATTAGCTCTATTCTTTTTTATTACATAATTACTTATAAAAGATTTGTATTGCATCTTAAACAAAAAATAACTCTAGTCGCTAGTTGAGTAACCGCGCAGGACACACGAGCCCAAAAACAATTATAAAATAAAATAAGTTCACAATTAAAACCCTAATGAAGTTGCCTATTAGGTTAAAAGCCTGTCTGATACAAAGATCTAGAACATCGGATTAAGACCTAATTAGAGAAGAGAAGAGGCGAATTTCTCAGTCAAACAAACCTATGGCTGCCCCAATGGAGAAGTCCCAAAGACTACTGACTACTGCCACGCCGGTTGATAGGATTAGCAATTTGCCGGAGTCAGTGATTTGTCACATTCTTTCTTTTCTCCCAACAACGTGTGCCGTGACAACAAGCGTTCTATCCAAAAAGTGGGAATTTCTGTGGACTAAAGTACCAGCTGTTGATTTTTTTGATCCCGAGGCAAATCATTACGGGAACAGTTTCGTGCACTTTGTCAACAAGGTTTTACTCCTCAATGCTGCTGGAAACTTGCACAAGTTTCGTCTCCGGTGGATTCATCAAGGCTCTGAATCGCCGGGCACTTTTGTTAATACCTGGGTAAGAACCTGCATCGCCCGCAATGTTCAAAAACTTGAACTTATTTGTTTTGAGTTCCCGTTTGAAATTCAGGTACCTTCCGTTCTGTTCACAAGTGGCACACTGGAAAATCTTAGGTTATCTTGTTGTTTCTTGATAAAAGTTCCAGGGTTGGTATGCCTTCCAAAACTCCAAGAGTTATACCTATTTCGTGTCAAGTTTGTCTCAGATGAGTGTTTAGGTAAACTGATATCTGGTTGTCAAGTGCTACATTCTCTCAAAGTATACAGTGATCTCTATCACAAGGTCTACAAGATCTCTTCCCCCTCATTAAATCGTCTCGATTTTGATGGTTGGTTCGGAAAGTTGGAAGTAGATACACCTGCGCTTCGGTACCTCAATTTTACGAACAACGGATGGATGGATTTGCCAGCGAGATTGCCAGCTTGCAGGTTTGACAGATTGATTAGGTTGGATATTGGAGGAAGCCTGTGTTGCCTGGGGAGTGGGTTTAGTT